CCGACTGTCTGCCGGGGCGCGTGAACGTGTGTTGTGTTCACGCGCGTGCGTTACGTGTATGTGATGGGTTCGCACGATGCGCTACGAACCCCGGCGACTCAAGTCTCAAATGAGTACCTGGTGTGATCATCGTCGCTCGGGAGACAAAGGCGGCCGGGCGTGGCGCTGGTCACCCACCCCCTCGTGTGCGGTGCCGGCCTTCATAGGTGCTCGCTAACAGCACTTGCCCCCCAACAGTCTGTTAAGGCTATACGGGTGATCTTTGTCTTTGTGTGCGAGTTTGAGTGTGTACCCTATGCGTGTACGTGCTCGTGTGTGTGTGTGCATGCTATTATACGATATGTGTGTGCGCATTTGTTTCACAGAGCCGTGTGTATGTTGTGCTTAATTGTGCGTGCCCGAGCCTGCGTAATGTATTTGTGTGCACGTCTGTGGGTGTTTGTGTGTCTTCGTCTTTTGTGGGAGTGGCGCAGTGGTGAGCGCGCTGCGCTACGACACCAGCGACCCCAGTTTGATTCCTGATATTGGTCATCATCACCGGTGACGAACCGGTGCTGGGCCTCCCCTATGTCGACTCAACCTTTAAACATTAGTACATGGTGCGGTGTGTAAACATCAGCACTGGGGAAACCAAGGCGGTCGGGCACGGTGCTGGACACCCACCCCCTCGTTCCGGCTTTCATAGGTGCTCGCTAACAACACTTGCCCCAACAGTCTCTTAAAGGTCACACGGTGCAGTCTTTGTGGGGGTGGCGCAGTGGTTAGCGCGTTGCGCTACAAACCCAGCGACCTGAGTTTGATTCCCGCTCATGGAAATCATCGGAGATGAACCCGTTCTGGGCCGCCCCTTCGTCGACTCGACCTTAAAAACGAATACATGGTGCGGTCTGTTAAAGATCTTTGTCTTGTTTTTGTTTTGTTTATCCCAGATTGCGCTCGTGAGGTTGAATTCCATGAGCGAATGCTTGATCTACGGGTAACCTTAATGCAACGCGCCAACAACATTTGATAATTTTACTTTGAATACAGACGACTTTATGCAGGAATACATTATTGATTGTTGCAGGGAATACCTGCCACTCAATCCACCAACAGGCAACGATGCATATGCTAATGTATACCTGTTCAACAGAAAATGTGATTTTAATTTAATTATCACCAGTCCCCATGGTGTGAAGTGTAGTCTCCAAGTCTAATCCACGCGATCTCTCTGGCCTCTTTGTTTATGTGCTACGAAGAAGGGCCATTGCCCGAAATGTCGCCTATTAAATATTTATGCATGCAGGTTAGAGTCTAATGTAAGAGGGTAGGTAACGGCTATTGTACCACGTGTCTCCGGCAGGTGGCAGCAGAAGGCACATGACCCCCCTGAACCTATTAAATAAAAACGTGATTTCGTAATGCTGCTGCGTTGGTAGTGGTGCACACGCACAAATAACACATACTCAATAGATTTGTCAATAATACTGCGGATTTATTTGTAAAATATACTGTATATTTATAATTGGCGACGTTTTGGGCAATGTCCCTTTTTCATATCACATTAGGAGAGGCCAGAGATATCGAGTGGATAATAAGACGTACCACGGGCATGATGAGAATTCAAACTTTAAGATGCTTCCTGATGAACAGTGTTTCAATTGCCTTATGAACACTTATTTACGATTAACAATTACCAGAAACGCCGCCTATCATATATTTTCCTTTTAAAGGCCGCAGTGTTATTTACGAGTGTGTTGAGTAATTTTAAATAAGCAGTCTGCTTCCCATATCTGTCTCTGCACATACAAAAAAAATCTAGGATATATTTGTTTAAACACGTAGCAGGCTTTTGCGACTAGTATCATCCATAATAGAGTTTTTGTTGGATTAGATCGCGTAAATATATAAATGTGTCGTTAAAACCCGCCACCATCTGACACAGCCAACTAGTAATGGTTGTCACGTAAACAGAACGTGCCAATTCGTCAAATCGGTGATGTGTTTGAGAGCCAAGCCACAACATTTACAAATGTTGTGGCTTCGCTGTCCAAAACACGTGGTGCTGACCACCCATCCCCTCGTGTGCCGTGCCGGCCTTCATAGGTGCTCGCCAACAGCACTTGCCTCAACAGTCTGTTACGACTATACGGGTGATCTTTGTCTTTGTGTGCGAGTTTGAGTGTGTACCCTATGCGTGTACGTGCTCGTGTGTGTGTGTGTGCATGCTATTATACGATATGTGTGTGCGCATGTTTGACAGAGCCGTGTGTATGTTGTGTTTTATTGTGCGTGCCCGAGCCGAGGTAATGTATTTGTGTGCACGTCTGTGGGTGTTTGTGTGTCTTTGTCTTTTGTGCGAGTGGCGCTATTATACAGCACTTGCCCCAAGAGCCTGTTTCAGGCTACACGGGGCTCGTGAAGGATGTCGCTGGGCAGTTGGAGGCAGTCGCCCTCCAGCAACAACGGAGGGCAGAGTAGCAACGCTCACAACAACGAGCAGAGCACCGGGCGGATAAAACGCAGCGAGTTCGCACAGCAGGGGGCACAGGTGGTGCATCAGCCAGCCGAGTCAGTCGACCTTATACTGCATAGCACCACCTGCAGGGTCTATCCCGTGACCTCCTGCCAGCAGCGAGCATCAGATACTACACGTGGCCTCAAGGCGCACACCTAGCCTGGCACAAGCGCCGTGTTGATTCGACCTTTAAAAGGAGAATACCTGGGGAGACAAAGGCGGCCGGGCGTTGTATTGTACTGACCAACCACCTCGTGCTTCATAGGCACTCGCTAACAGCACTTGCCCCAACAGTCTGTGAAGGCTACACGGGTAATCCCTGTCTTTATTTGCGTGTGTGTTTTTGTGTGTGTTTGTGTGTGCGTGTGTGTGTTTGTGTGTGTGTTTGTGTGTATGCGTGTGTGTGTGTTTGTGTGTGTGTGTTTGTGTGTGTTTGTGTGTGTTGTGTGGACGGGTTCCGCAGGATTGGAAGGATGCCCTGGTGGTCCCCCTCTTTAAGAAGGAGGACCGCACAGACTGTAACAACTACAGGGGCATCTCACTCCTCAGTGTGCCGGGAAAGGTCCTGGCAAGGATTATTCAACATCGCCTTGCTAGGCACGCTGAGGAGAGGCTTGCGGAGCCCCAATGGGGTTTCAGGAAAGGGCAGTCCTGCACAGATGCCATATTTTCTGTCCGTCTGCTACAGCAGAGGTGTAGGGAATTCCAACAAGACCTACATCTCTGCTTTATTGACCTGGTCAAGGTCTATGATACCATCAGTAGGCCTGGGCTCTGGGTTGTTCTTCGTGCTTTAGGAGTCCCTGACCCTCTGCTCACGATCATTAAGGACCTTCATGATGGTGAGCGGGCCCGGGTAAAACTACGTGGCCGGGAGTCAGAGCCTTTCCCTGTACACTTTGGGGTGCGACAGGGATGTCCTCTGGCTCCCACATTATTTAACATCTATTTTGACCACGTAGTTCGTGAAGCCTTCAATAGCTGTACCGGGGGAATTTCCATTTGGTACAGATATAATGGGAGACTGATCGATGCCCGGGTGTGTTCAAGGGATGGCTCCATATTGGTCAACCACGTTATGTATGCCGATGATTTGGTAATATCTGCTCATTCAGAGGAGGAGTTGGAGACGCTGCTGCTGAGACTGGAGCTTGCCACTAAGAGGTGGGGCCTTACCATCAGCCCCACCAAAACTAAGCACCTGCCTGGGTATTTTGTACCATCGGACACTCCACCCCCACAACTCCCAATCGGTGATTGGGCAGTAGTGGAGAGAGTGGAGAGTTTCCCATACCTGGGCAGTGTGCTTATGACCGGCTCCAGTTTAACAGCAGAGGTCTCACTCCGAATCAGTCGAGCGGCAATTTATTTTCATCGGTTGCGTAACGCTGAGTGGAAGCTACCTGGTCTGTCGCTCCGCACGAAGCTTCAGGTCTTTTCGGCCACAGTCATTCCCTCCCTTTTATACGCTTGCGAAACATGGACCCCCCTAATGGAGCATCTTCGCCAGTTGGAAACATTTAGGCTGGCCTGCCTACGATCCATCCTGGGTTTAACCAGGCTGGATTGTGTGAGGAGCTCACAAATCCTTGAAAGATGTGGACAAAGTCCCATCAGTGAGCTCCTCCGGCAGGCAAGGCTGCATTGTCTGGGCCATGTAGCCCGCATGCCCAGCTACCGCATGCCTAAACAGCTTTTGTTCGGCCGGATCGAGGGGGCTAAACGAACGCGGCACGGGCTAGAGAAGAGATGGAGTGATGTGGTACAGGAGGACGTGGAGCTGAGTGGACTTGCCGATGACTGGTACCAGCGGTGTCAAGATCGGCCTCTGTGGAGGTGGCTCGTGAAGGATGCTGCTACTACTGGGCAGTGCCAGGCTAGGTGCACCTTGAGGCTACTGGGCAGTTGGAGGCAGTCGCCCTCCAACAACAACGGAGGGCGGAGGAGCGACGCTCACAACAACGAGCGGAGCGCCGGGTGGCTAAAGCACAGCAAGTTGGCACAGTAGGGGGCACAGGTGGTGCATCAGCCAGTCATCTCAGTCATCTCGGTCAGTCGACCCGTGGCACCTGCTGGGTCTGCCCCGTGACCTTCTGCCAGCGGGCGTTCGACACTTCACGTGGCCTCAAGGTGCACATGGCCTGGCACAAGCGTCGTGGTGACGTCACCGCCACTTAGTGGCGAATGGCGGTTGTTGTTGTTGTTGTGTCTGTGTGTGTGTGTGTTTATGTGTGTGTGTCTGTGTGTGTGCCTGTGTATGTGTGTCTGTGTATGTGTGTCTGTGTGTGTTAGTGTGTGTATGTGTGTGTCTGTGTGTTAATGTGTTTGTTAGTGTGTGTGTCTGTGTGTGTGTTGTTCATCTCCCGCGTGCTTCCTCCACTGAGGCCGGCACGCCAGGTGCCACAAGTCCGCTTCAGCTCCGCGTGCTCCCCGTAACTGCACTGTACAGGAACCTTCGTTTATTCATCAGCGGCGAATAAACGATCCGCGCCGGTACCTCCTCCCCTAGGTAGACTCGGCCTGAAACCCCCGAGAGAAACCCAAGAAACCCGCCAAGGCTCCCACAACCACCCGCGCGACGCGCAGTCAACGCTCGTGCCGGCTCGCAGTCGTCTTGTGTGTTTATATCTAAACGTCTGAATTAAAACCAAACTCCGCCAACATGGTAAGTTGTTCCTCGTCTACTGTGAAGCGTTGTCGACGTAACGCGAGAGAAAATGTTTTGTTTGAACAAGTTACGGCAGCGTAACGCTTGACGCGGTGCGAGGCCTTAATCGGCCGTTGCTTGAGCCTGCCTTGCCTGATTGCCCTGCCCGGGGACCTCGCTCCTAACCAGGCGGCCACAAAAAGCACCGCGGCGGCTTAGGCCCCAGTTCACCGATGTGACGCGGAGTTAAACAAATTTATCTCGCGATGTTTAACTTTATAACGAAGGTTTTGTTGTTTTTTAGTTTCGCGCGCTGCATTGGTAACTGGGCTTGCGAGTGGGGGCTTGTGGAGAGTACGGCCGATGCGTTTGCATGATGTTGAGTGATAATTAATGTTTGCATTGTCATTGTACGCCGAGTCGCCGTGCCGGATCGCTGTACGGAGATAACTTTCCACAATTTGAAATTGTTTATTTTGAATGAAACAATTATATCTGTGTTGTGTAGTCCTACCATTTTATGCATAGATACGCACCTTGCAAAAAAACTATTTTGTGTACCGAACCTCCAAACCTGGGGTCTGGAATCGGACAATGCATGCCCATCCGATTTTGCTAGATATTACAGAATAAAATTATTTGGATTAATGGGCTGAGTATTTGGGTTTAAAAATAATATCGGTACTTTAAACGTATGAGTTTACCTCTGGTCTGCTAGTATATGCCTGTTAACAGCTTTTCAATAGATAAAAATACACGTGTCTAGACCTGGCAGAATAAAATGCCCGACTTCCCCAAAAAATAAAGGTACCAGAAGATGAATTGTGTAGAGAAACCAAACATTTAGAGGTTGAACCTCTGCGATGGCAAAAACGTATTAATTTCCGGTGTTGTATGCATGTTGAACTTCTTTCGCGCCGTACGTAACCAACCGTGCGAATCGGAGGTGCGGGATCTCGGTGCTAATCTTGACCACTTGTTCCTTATAGCGATGGGTCCCTGCCCCAAGCCCTCTTTAGTTTATTAACAATCAATATATCGATATGTAAGTGTGGAGAACAACAATCTCGAGACTGATGGATGACAGGACCGTCGAGATGTGAAAACATGCAAAGTCCAAGACTGACCACAGTCGGGAAGGAACACCCAGACTCAGGACTTAAATCTAGGGTCGCGACATTGCTCGACTCACAGCCATTTCGAGTCTCGATAAGTCCACACACGGCCACTGGGCCCAAACACAGGACCTCGTGAGTTAGTCTTGGCTCGGTGTGACACGGCCACAGGCTGACATGCAGGACGTCAGTCACACGTCCATTGAGCTCCGTGATCCACCCAGACTGACATGGGCAGCATCTAAATATCTTTCAATTTAAATGTAATATCATTACATTTGTAAATGGTATCTAAATTGTTTTAAAATCACACGAGATGTTATTATTTGGAAATGTGTATCTGTTACATTTCCTCCAATAAATTGTAATTTTAATGTAATTTTCCCAGCTCTGAGTAACCCCACTGCCTCCCAGCTACTGTAAAACTTTCAGTTTTATTCGGAAGCCACTGGAGCTATCGACTTTAAAAATCTGGATTGAAAACTAATTTCTGCAGAACTGCTTATTGTGTTTAGTTTGTTGTCCTTCCCCCGCACCTCCGATTAGCAGTTGGCTTCGTACGGTGCTAAAGATGTTCAAAATACATACAAGTGAAATCGCCGATTGATATGCCATTGGGCTTGCTCTGACCCCGCCGTGTCCCGTCTGTCTCTACGTCACCGCAGTCGATCATGTCCTACAACGGCGGCGCGGTGGTGGCCATGGCTGGCAAGGACTGCGTGGCCATCGCGTGCGACCTGCGCTTCGGCGTGCAGGCCCAGATGGTGTCGAACACCTTCGAGAAAGTGTTCCCCATGAACGAGCGCCTCTACATCGGCCTGGCCGGGCTCGCCACCGACGTACAGACCGTGTGAGTGAGCACCGCAGCGGCGCGTTAAAAACCCACAAACTAACGGAATAAAACATTTAGAATTTAGAATTGCGCAGGTTTGCGTTTCCTTCTCGGAGAGAAAGATTCGGAGGCGAGGGTAACCACAGCCAGAATCAGCACCAACAGTTCCGATATTTGGATAACTACGCAGACCATTTTTCCTTCACATATCCATCTCTCTGCATAATGCAATAATTGATTCTGTTCTATTTCTTTGAATAATATACGTTATAGTGCCTTTAGGGTTTCAAGTGGCTCTCAGGTTTACATGAACCAGTCATACTACGAGGTACCATTCTAAAATAATTGATTATGTTTCATTTGATTTCTCTACCTTAAAAACAACTGTGCGTGCAGGTCTGAACGGTTGCGTTTCCGTGTGAACCTGTACGAGCTGCGGGAATGCCGCCCCATCAAACCCAAGACCTTCATGAGCATGGTGTCGAACCTCCTGTACGAGCGCAGGTGAGGCTGCCTGCACACACATATAAAGATCCCCCCTGTAGCATCAACAGACTGTTGGAGCAAGTGCTATTAGCTAACAGCGCCAGTGAAGGCCGGCACGGCACACGATCGAGGCGAGTGACCAGCACCACGCCCGGCTGCTACCCACACGCACACAGCCACACCCTCATTATCCAGCTTTAAGAGTAATTCACTTCAATTGGTTCACGCACTGCGCTACAAATCTGGAAAACCATTTTTGTACCATGAAGCGATGTTCGTGTTGACACCGAAGGGATTCATACTCTTTGATTTTTTCGGTAAAGTCACGTAGGTAAATTTACCGAAAAAAACAAAGAGTATGAATCCTTGCAGTCACGAAAGCTTCAAATCTAGATCCGAAGGGATTGTGGGCTGTTTCGCACTCTTCCGGCCAACTTTGCAACTCCGCTGTCCGGGCCGTGCATTGTACCGGCCACTAACATCAAGGCACCCTGAGACGATGTTACATCTCGCTCATGAGATTTGATTAAATCAAAATCGGCCCACCGCTAATGCTGCCTCAATAAACAATTGGTGTTTGGAAACATGGATCTTAAACAACTCCGTAGACAAATAAATTATGATACATCACTGATGAAACAAACCTGGCGGTGGTGAGATGTTAACTACTTCGCCTGGTATACAAGGTGTTGAGTTCAATCCCGACCCTGGCGCCTGTATATTTGGATTTTGTGTCTCTCCCAGTGGTGGTGGTGGCATAGATTTTTCTCTGGGTCCTCCGGTTTTCTCCTGCACGTTAGAGTCAACATGCGTTCAAGAGTATTCAGTTGCTACTAAATGTGCGCATGATGAGCCACTTTGTTGAGCTATCATTTGTGCAGGTAGCTTCTGAAAAAAGAGCTATACAGCTCAGAGTGGGCCTTACCTAGGTGAGTTGCTCGTGCAGGTAAGAGCAATGAGGTTTGGTACGCTGGCCATGTTATTTATTTATTGGTGTTTCCGTGCACGGCAGGTTCGGACCATACTTTGTGGACCCGGTGATCGCGGGTCTCGACCCCGTCACACTGGCACCGTTCATCTGCTCGCTCGACCTTATCGGCTGCCCCATGGTGACGGAAGACTTCGTGGTGAGCGGCACGTGCTCCGAGCAGCTCTACGGCATGTGCGAGTCGCTGTGGGAGCCCAACATGGTGAGCCACCAGCCACCCCCACCCCCCCCGCGGAAACACGAGTGCGTGCGCAATCGAACACTCGTGAAATTCCACGTGGGGCGTTATCGAAAACATACATGACAACCACTTGTGTTCCAAAAACACACACCCGTGCAGACGTCTGAAAATGCACGCACACATCAACCACTTGCATCCAACGTATTCATGCTAAACAAAGATCCTGCGTATAGTCTTAACAGACTGTTTGGACAAGTGCTGTTAGCAAGCACCTATGAAGGCTGGCACAGCACACGAGGAGGTGGATGGCCAACACCACACCAGGTACTCATTTGAGGCCGAGTAGACCTAGGGGAGCCCCAAGACCGGTTTAGATAATCGTCACTGGTGTTGGCCGTGAGCCGGAATCAAACTCTGGTGGCCGGGTTTGTAGCGCAGCGTGCTAACCGCTAGACTTCCGCTCCTCATTCATGCAATAAACACGCCCACACACCACAACGCACTTGGACAAATGCTGCGCCTTTGACCATGGTTTGCTGCTGCCGATTGTGCCGTGACCAGGAGGCGGACGACCTGTTTGAGACGATCTCGCAGGCCATGCTCAACGCGGCCGACAGGGACGCACTCTCCGGATCTGGCATCCTTGTGCACATCATGTACGTACCGCGTGCACCCCATGTACATACACCCCATGTACAATGTTTCCAAATAGCAATTGTCTATCAAGGCAGCATTGGTGGGTGAGATGATTTTTATTTCACTGAATCTTATCGGCGAGGTGTGTCCTACACAGTTGCCTCAGGGTACCTTGATGTTAGTGGCCGATACGATGGACGGCCCAAGTAGCGGAGTTGCAAAGTTGGCTTGGTTGCCTTGATTTGTAGCACACCTCCGATTAGCACGGTTGGCTACGTACGGTACGAAAGAAGTTCTACATTACATACTGCGTGCACATGATGTACTTAAAGGGCCCGGCCTGGGGCACTACATGGTGAGGACAGGGGAGGCTGGGATTTCAACCTTTAGAAGTAGAGCAATGAAATTGGGTTATGTTGCAGGGAAGATGGACTGTTGCTTTGCAAGAAATAAATTGGGGGTGGGGGGGCTTTGTCCTGCAGTGGACAGAACGTGACAATGATACAATGACTTAGAACGGATGTCATACAGGATCTTTAACGTTTCCTTTGCGGTGGTAATCGGCACTCGAAACGAGTGGGGGACCTTGTAGGAAAAACATAGCCGCCATCTTTGTGTGTAAACCGGCACGATTTGGCGTGGTTTCGACTGCCCCACGGCCGTGTTTAAAGTAACACGTCGTGTTTTTCAGAGAGAAGGACAAGGTGACAACTCGCAAGCTGAGGACCCGTCTGGACTAACTGACCAACCCCGCTGCCAGGGTGACGGGATCTCGCCGCAGCGTCAGCGAGACTCTCACGGATGCGTTTCCATTTTTATTCACAAATCTGCGGCAAAAAGAAAAGACGGAGGCGTTGAATAAAGCCAATTGTGTTACAAACAGTCCACTGCTGCTGTCCCCCGCGTCTCTGTGCACAAGCCATTGATTGGGGTAACCGTTCCAGAAATGTGCGTTTTTTATGAGTGGTGAATGTAGCGCCTCCAGTGGCTGCTGGGGTCTTGTGTATATGTTGAACTTCTTTCGCACTCTACGTAGCCAACCGTGCTAATCGGAGCGGTGTGTGCATGTGGGGAGCGGTGATGTATTGGTTAGCGCTCTGCGCTACGAACCCAGTGACCCAAGTTCAATTCACGATCATCAGCTTTGATAATTATCTGATCCCAATGTTGGACTCGACTAGGTCGACTCGGCCTTAAATGAGTATCTGTTTTGCTGGGGAGGTGCGTGGGAAGGACTTGCAAACCACGAATCGAAAAACATCCAGTCACAGTGTGGACGATTCCACCGACGTCAGAATTATTACGAATCAACATTACCATTGGCCCAAAAAGAGTAAGGACAACATTAGGATTTTTAAAACTATATTTACAACATAAAACGTATAAATACAATAAAATTGCTGCTTTGGGGTGGCAGCAGCTATTCAAGAAAATAAGCGTGGGGGGGGGATAAGTCAATGTAACAGCAGCAAGAATACTTGATGGCATGAAAACACGAGAGAGGAGTTTACACCTTGCAGTTGGGAAATGCGCTGCAGCTCGCTGTGGGAGGACTGCAGAAGCGGAGCGGCATGGGAACCAAGAGAGCCCAGGGTAACCCCAGGGTAACCCCAGGGTAACCCCAGGACGTCCCGCAGGCGCTTGCACGGGTGGGTCTCTTCACTGAACAGGGGTAAACCGCAATGGCGCCGCTTGTGTTGTCGGTGTAAGTCACCGAAAACGTTCGGTAACCCACCATGGATGACCTCTAGCGGGAACACTCGGACGACGACGACGACCCCCTTTGCAGCCTCCGGCTTGGGAGCCGCTCCCGCCCGGTGATTGCAGCGAGCACGCAGCGAGCACGAAGCGTGTGCAGTATTTAAAAAATATATATGTAACCACGAGCGGTAAACTTGCAACAAATGGCACGTGTGACCACGGAATCAGACGCCACGAACACGCCACGGGGAAGCCACGAGGCGGCATTGCGTTTGAGCGCGTGCGGACAAAGGTGCTCTTTTCTCTTTCCCCCAACAACCTCGTCGACTGGTTACCGGAGTAGGCCGTGAATGATGGGCAGGGGTGTTGAGATGTATACTGGTAGGATAGCAATGTTCGATATCCGAGCTGATGAGATGCACGGGTCAGACAACCGAGAGAGTACGTTTACACGGCGCGTAGGGTTAGGCGTGCTCCGATGCGTTTTCGGGTTTAACCGCGAGATGTCTGGCACGATGTCCGACGTTTCGGTCCGTCGGCTGGACGAGAAACGGAATTCGTTTCCCGAAGAAGATCCCAGCACGTGACGCGCAAGCCGTTGGGCAGCGTGCCGCACAACACGTGCGCTGGACGGAACGCGGTAGGACGAGCCGAAAACACCCATCAGAGCCATTTTGCGAAAAATCGTGGAAACGCACACAGTCGTAGAATGATCCACAGTCCAACACCCACCCTGGGGGACTCTCCCAGCACACCGCTCCCCCGTTCCGAGTGCTTGATAGGCACTCATTCTACTGCGGCCACAGGAGCCTTGGAGCCATCCCCTTGTCCCAAATCAAACCACCAGGTGTCCTCGCAGAGACGCGGGACAGATTGAGAAATGCATGCAATAATAATTCATAATCGTCGAATCACGGGGTTTCGCCCCGCTCACCGGGGCTTGCTTTTTGAAAAGCAACGCTGTGAAATGTCGAGGTCATGTCGGTGCCAAAGCGGTACACCGAGATCGTTAATTCCGAAGCGTTGCGGTTCCACCAACTCTTTAAGCAGCACCGAGGTGATGGTATTCTTTATATTTAAAAGCACTTTTTGGGGATCGGTGACGCTGGTCAGGCGGCGTAGCTGGCAAATGTGCAGGCGGTGCAATTGCACCAGGGCCCAGGAGAAGAGGGGGGGGGGTGGTTGGGCCCCCACTTTAATCCCCTGTACCAGGGCCCATTGCCAAGCCACCGACGGTTGTCATCACGATACCCGCAGGTTTATCCAAATCCCCCCACTCGTCACGATTTCTAGGTCTCAACATTCTTCCACAAGCATCATCACCAGAGGCAGACCACGAGCCTCTTCTCCCCCCACCCCACCGGGGGCTATTGGCACTCTGCAACGCCGACGCTCCGCTGCTCACTCCAGGATGCTGGCCATGAAGTCCAGGAAGCGCTTCGAGTACTGCTCCGGGTTGACGGTGGAGACGGCTCCAGCCTGCATGAGGCACGCAGGGCACAGCGGGCACGGCTCACGAAACGGCCACCGCGGTTTGGCCTTCACAGACCGCTGGAGCGAGTTCTGTTGGCGAGCGTCGATGAAGGCTGGAGCGGGGCACGGGTGTGGCTGGCGGTGTGGCCAAAAACCGTGCACCTGACCGCCTTTGTCTCCCCAAGTGTTCCCCTGCTTACACGCTGCACTCGGCAACAAGGCGTGATATCGTCTCTCGTCACCGTGGTGGTGTGCATGGCCAGGAATGAATACAGTGCGCGCAAACACATCCACACATACGTGTAAAAATTCACACTCGCACAAATAAGACAAAGATGCCCTACCCTTATAGCTTTACCAATCTGTTGGGGCAAGTGCTGTTAGTGAGCACCTATGCAGGCTGGCACGGCACACGAGGGGGTGAGGAGCCAACACCACGCCCGGCCACCTTTGTCTCCCTATTGGCGATGTTTACCCACTGCCCCAGGTACTCATTTGAGGCCGAGTCAACCGAGGGGAATCCCAGGGCTAGTTGAGATAATCGTCACCGGTGTTGTCGGTGGTCAGAATCGAACTCGGGTCGCCGGGTTTGTCGCGCAGGCCAAGGCGGCCAGCTGTCGCCCTCACCCTGCTCTTGACGGTCTTGGCTGCGTGCTGCCGCCTTCCTCTTGGCGTCGTAGTGGGTGAGGATGTCGATGATGCCCATGTAGTACACTTCCTTGCGGCCGGCACCTGTGAGTAGTGAGAGACCCGCTTTAAGCACCGGCCGTAACCGGAAACCGAACCCGGGTCGCCGGGGGCGTAGAGCAGTGTGGCGCTAACCGCGAAACTACCGCTCCCCACACACACGCACACAAAGACAAATATCCCCCGTATTGGCTTCACAGACTGTTGGGGCAAGTGCTGTTAGCGAGCGCCTATGAAGGCCGGTAAGGCTCACAAGGGGTGGGTGGCCAGCACCACGCCCGGCCGCCTTTGTCTCCCCAGTGGTGATGTTTTACACACTGCACCAGGTACTCATTTGAGGCCGAGTCGACCTAGGGGAGGCCCAGGACAGATTCAGATAATTGTCACTGATGTTGGCCGTGAGCGGGAATCGAACTCGGGTTCGCCAGGTTCGTAGCGCAGCGCGCTAACCGCTGCGCCACCACGCACACACACACACGCACACGCACACACACGCACACACACACACGCGCACACAACCGCACACACACGCGCACACACGCGCACACACGCGCACACACGCGCACACACGCATTCGGCCGTACTCTCGTGTGCGACGATGGCGTAGATGCTGCCAGTGCCCGAGGGGGCAGCGCCGGCGGCCGCGGTGCCGGAAGAGCCGGCGACGGCGCCCCCCCCACCGGCGGCGGCCTCCGGCGAGGCGGCCCCCCCCGCTCCCCCGCGCGCCGCGGTGCCGTTGGCGGCGTCCACGCTACCGCGGCCGACCCTGCTCCCCTTGCGCCAACCGCGGCGCCGCCGCTCCTCCTCCTCCTGCTCCGCCTCCGCCTCCTTGGTCTCCTCCTCCTCGTCGTCGTCCTCGTAGTCCTCGTCCGCCTCGTCGTCCACCTCGTCCTCGTCGCCCGCCTCCACGTCGTAGATGCCCACCAGGAGGCTGTAGCCCATCATCTTGAGCTGCACCAGAAACTGAGCGCACGCGGACACGACGGACGGGCGTTGAGGCGCAGCCCCTGCAAGCGCCCGCTCACTCCCGCCGCCTGCGGGAGATGGGGGTGGGGCCTCTGTGGCTTGGCCTGCTCTTCCATGTTGGATGGAAGAGCAGGGGGAGTGCCCACGATTTACCCCACTACGAGAGACCCACTGATCGGCTACGGTGCACCAATCTACACTGCTGAGTGGATACCGGCGGTGATGGCAGGGGAGGCATATAAAACCGGCCTAATTTTCTCAACCGCCACGCCGGGAGGTCAAACCAGCCACCCCCCCCCAGGTGCAAGTCCAGTGTGCGAACCCCAACACCGCGGCGGGGGCACCAGTAGCAGTGCGGCAGCGGTGGTTGAGATTTCGCTCGCCACCAACATTTCACCACGGCCGGCAATCCAACTCAGGTCGCCGGTTCACAGTGCAGCGTGCGCCAACCACTGCGCCACCGCTCGATCTCCACCTCCCCCCCCCTTTCTCCCCCACGTGCGCGCGAGTGACGAATTGCGAGGAGGAGGAGGAGCAGGCTCCAGCAGGTGGCACAGCTGCACCGTGACATGAACCAGCATGACGCGACAGCTGCCCCCCCACGTGTTTTCAGGCCAGCCTCGGGGTCGACACCTGCCTGGGTTTGACCCGGAACAAGCCGAACGGTGGCCGATGCCTCTGTGATCGCTAATCGCATCGTGCGGCAGGAATCGATTTCTTCCGAGTTCTGGTACCGGTATTGTGCGGAACTTTATTGTGGGACCCCGCACCGTTTTTGATAACGAACCCAGGGATATCTCTGTGCTGTGGAGAAGGTGGAAAAAACCTCGGCCTCTACAGCCACTAGAGGCTGCTACGTTCACAACAACGTTAAGAACGGTTGACTATTGAATTTGCAGATCCCGCAATCGGTGCTTGGTCGAAATCTCTCGCCCAACAGTGCAACCCTCCGTGTTGGGACGACGACGGCCCACGGAAGCAGATATCCCGGAGCGACCTCCGAGGTCCCTTCAAGTGACCACTTATCCACAGTAGGGGGCGGCAGGAGGTGCGGGGGGGGGGGGGCAGCACTTTCCCACCTGCTCTGCGTACGAGAGAGTCAATGGCCGTTGCACACGCGATTAGCGCGCGTGGGGCTGTTGGAGGGCAAGCCCAACACACACGCACGCACGCGCGCACGTGCGTCTGGGTGCGGAGTCAGGCGGTTCGCGCGGCGGCTAAATCACCGCGCGGCTCTCTCAGCCCGCGCTAAGAAGGCACGGGCGCCAGACGGATAAAAATACCGCCACCCCCCCAAAAAAAAAAAAAAAACGTGGCCCCCCGCCACGGCCGGCATCTTGGAGCTCGCCCCAAGCCAACGGTGCTGGCACGTGCTGGCCACCCAGCTAAGCAAGCACAGGCTCAGCGTCACAAGCAGCTCCAAGGCCCCCCCCCCCCCCACGCCCCCGACCGCCCCTCTCGGATTCGTGGTAAATATAGGCGTCCAACTCAGATACCTCTCTCTCTATATATACAAAAAAGCAGAAAGCTCGTCGTTTAAATAACGGCATTAAACTAGTTGCAATTGTGATTTGTCTGTTAAAATCATTGTGTCACACAACCATGATAGAGTTAAGGGGCGCAGCTTGACCAGTGTATAATGTTTGTCGCAGTCGTCAATCAAAATATAAAAAAAAAATTTGCATCATTTATGCAAGCTGGGTGAGTAGGTGAGTGATTGAGTGAGTGGGTGGGTGATTGAGTGGGTGGATGGATGAGTGGCACCCTCACCTCCACATCCCTCCTGAGCTTCTCCAGGAATGCCTTCTTGTCCTCCTCACCGATGACAATCTTCTTCTTCTCGTTGATGAAGTCGTTGTCCTTGAATGTTGGAAGGTCCTTGGCCTGTGTGGCCATGGGCAAGAGAGACACGGAGGGAGAGAGAGAGAGAGACAGACAGACAAAAGGTGTGAAAAGCAAGCCATCCTGCCATGTAAATAATCCACCTGGCACCCGCTGCACCTGAACTGATTTAATCGCTCCATCTCCTCAGAGGACGTGGTTCTCAGATGCGATTGTGTTGATTGGATACGAAAGACATCCGTTACGTAACATTTTTGTTTTTAGTTTAGTAATGCAAGGCTGGCTTTATGGGGGGTGGCAGGGGCGAGGGGGCTACAGCATGTAATAAAAAAGGTATATATTGAACTACGTGTACAACGAACGATCGTGATGTAGAATCAAGTTTGCACACAATTCAGCCAAGACCGGCGTAAAGCAATGTTCTTTTGTTTAACAAACACGATCCATCATCACTCCCTCAAACGCTCTCTCTCGCTCTCACCCACTCGCCCGCCAACTCACACAACGGCTCGCTAACACCTTCACTGTACGTATGTTGATCTTCCGCACCGTACGTAGCCAACCGTGCTAATCGGAGGTGTCAGTGAAGGACAGCAAACTAAACACAAAAAGCAGTTCTAAAGAAACACGTTTTCAATCTAAATTATTTAAAAGGGCATAGCTCCCAGTGGCTTCCGAATATCGGATGGAAGAACGTTCCAGACAGCCGCAGAAGCGCATCTGAAAGCGCGCGATGCGGTGATCACCGACTTTGTTCGACCGCCCACCGACTCGCTCGCCCCTTCACTCCCTCGCCCACCAACTCGCTGGCAAAACACTCACCTTTTCCTTCTCGCTGGCTTCTCGAGACAGCGTGCAGCCCTACAGGAGACAGACGTAGCCACACGGAGACACAGACAAGAGAGGCACACGGAAGAGAGTTAACGGCGAGCGGGCGGTGTGGGTCGGCACCACTCCTGGTCACCTTTGTCTCCCCAGTGCTGATGTTTAGACGCCGCACCAGCTCCTGATTGAAAGCAAACTCGACCTCAGGGAGGCCCAATTCCAGTCCAGATATCGCTCGTCGTGGGTCTTTCTAGCCCTGGCTGGGAACCCAACTCAGGTGGCCGGGTTCGTAGCGCAGTGCGCTGACACCACGAGGCCACTGTTTCCCAGCCATACAATACGTGCACACGCATGCACACACATGCACACCTGCTGGCTTTCACCACTAAGATAATATCAACCATCGCAGATCAACGAAATGCAAACGGGCACGTCGTTTTCAGTCTAATCTAATCACAACGCTGCCAGTCCCACTCATTGGCAGACAGCAGCTGCAGCTGCAGCAGCAGCAGCAGCAGCGACGAGAGCCGCAGATGCGATTAGCGATCACAGAGGCATCGGCCACCGTTCGGCACACTCACAAACAGTCCTCCGCTTTTGCTACGTGCCTTTCAGATCAGAATCATGACTTAGACCGGACGAGTCCGATGAGTTCTGAAGCTCTTTTTAGCAGAAGTCCAGTCGGGGGTGGGTCAGCCAGTGATAACAATGAACAATACAATAAATATTCATCTTTCTTGAGAGCCAATGCTGAGCCGCTCACTCACGCATGCAGAGGGGGGTGGTGGAGGCCTTGGGGAGTGACCGAGCGGTTTGACCCGAGGAGCCGCGTTGGGGGTCAAGCCGCTGCGCTAGACGTGTCTGGGGCGCCACGGTGGCTCGGAGATGTTGACTACCTCGCCTGGTATACAAGAGGTCGTGGGTTTGATCCCGACCCTGATGAAGCCTGCTGTATATTTGGAGTTTGCATGTCTGGCATCATCATAACGGTGGCTAGGAGATGTTAACGACCTCGCCTGGAATACAATAGGAGGTCGCGAGTTCGATCTCGACCCTGACGCCTGCTGTATATTTGGAGTTTTAATGTTGTCCCTGTGGTCATGTGGATTTTTCTCCAGGTCCTCCAGGTTTTCCCTCCGCATTCAGAATCAACATCATTCGAGTATTTGGCTGCTTTACATTTCCACGTGATGACCCACTTCGTTGAGCTATCATTTGCGGCCAGGCCACTTCTGTAAAAGGCCTATGTAGCTCAGTGGGCCTTACCCGGTAAAATACATTTTTTATATTTATAGTTTAGTTTAGACCGCACAGCCACCTAGTCACCTCGCGCAACACGGCAGTAACCTCACAATCTTTCTGACTTGCAAGGCACACGCTCACGTCACCGCACGCCCGGTTCATGTTTGGTATTATCCGGTTGCATTTGTCTGGTAAACAAAGCAAGCTGGGACCGGTTTCTACTGCGGTGAGGCTCATCGGCAAGGCACGGGGGCTCCTTTACGGGCAGCAGCACCAATCGGTACCGAGGAGTTTAAGTTGATTTTGTTCGGCCAGGTGAGAACTCAGCAATAAGTCTCATTTGCAAGAGCGACCCTGGGACAACAAAAACAATTACGCGGATTGCCACCCGTCCTGGTTTTACCCAAGATCGTCCTCTTGTTGAGCGGGCAGCTGCTGTCCCGTGCAATGTGCGAGTCTTCCCGGCACAGTAGAAGTCCCGGCTTTTGTCAGTCGCGTAATGATGACGACGACGACGATGCTAATGCACCGATCAAGACAATGCGCTGGAAGACAGCAGCTCTCTCCTGTCTTCTAACATCGTCAGATTTTCTACCCCCCCCCCCCACCCCCCCCCCCCACGGTGCCCCCGGAATGTTTTGTACGGCAGAAGTTGGCGACACCCCGCCACGGCCGGCAGCGGTGGATTACCGGGACACGCGCTTCATTTCGGAGATTTGGGGCAAATCGTCTCGGACGCTAAATTTCTGTTGATGCGTCGCATGGGACCATCTGTGCCCGGTTTAACAACAAAAATTCTATGAATACCCCATCTCTCTCTTTCAGCGAGAGATTTAGTTCATTTTTTATTATTATCACCGTCTGTGTGATCACTGCAGCCCACTAGATTGGAAAAAAAAATTGTTGTACTGTACATCTCCGCTCCCACGTGTATGCTCCAGAGTGGCGAGGTATGGTCAAACAATCCCCCCTCAACCCGCGTGGAACGCGAAGGCCATCATCCAGCAGTGGATAGACAGACTCTACCTGTCTAACCACCTGTGTATCCCTATATGTACGTCTAACTTCTTTCGCACCTTACGTGCGAATCGGAGGTACGGGGGGGGGGGTGCGTTCTCGAGACGTTGCCACACACGCGGACACACGCACGGTGCAGCAGCAGCAGCAAGGCAGGACGGGGGGGGGGGCAGGGCGGGGGGGGTGCGCACCACGGCGCAGGAATGCGGCGAGGACGCCGCTGACGCCGCACCGACGGCGCTCTTCCGCGTGGCGGCCGCCGCACGCAGTGACGCAGCGAGCGCGGCGCGATGGTGGCCCAGCGCCGGCGCGGGTAGCCGCCTGCTGTTGTGGCCGAGGTTCGCGGTTCGAATCCGGCGCAGCCGCCCAGGTTAATACTGCGAGCGTGTTAACGATGGAGATTAATACTTTAATTTATATCGCACGCGACGTCCGCTTGCTTTTCGCGGCGGGCGTCGCGAGGGACCCGGCGCCGCGCGTGTGCCGGCGCCAAGGCTCGAAAATTTGCCGCGTTTGAAAAGCTCCGCCGCAAGTTACTCGACTGGGTTCATACGCGGCACGTCCCTGCTACCCCGAGAGCACCAGAGCTTGGGCAACTGTTGGTGGCCGCCGGTTTCTGGCTGCCTCCCGGCTCGTTGGCGACTTCCTGGCGAATGGTCCCCTTCCCCATCGTGACCGCTCTCATGTTCTGAGATCGGGGCGCCTGTAGAATAATTTACCCTCTGGCACATAGCAGGGGCGTCGTCTTATATGACCGGGATCTGTGCCTCATTTAGGTCGACTCAGCCCTAATAATTTACTGGTGTTGCAGCGGTGGTGGGTTAAACGTCAGCGTTGGGGAGTGTGTGTGCGCGTGGGTGTGTGTGGATACGTAATTACGCGTGTTATATCTTTGTCTTTGTGTATGTGTGAATGTATGCGATCATGTTCATGTATGGTTACTGGACAATGTGTACACTAGACAATGTATACATATATACACAAACACGACCATACATAAACACACAGGAGACATATAAATATACGCACACAGATATATCATGCAAACAGTGTCGAGTGTACACACACACAAACACGCCCCGTGGTATTTAAAGGTTTCCCGATGACATTTGCTTCCGATTTGGAGCTCGCATCCCAGACCGGTCCTACGGGTCCTCCTGGGCGCCACGAGGAGGCGCGGCCGCCGCTCTGCGAGAGGGCCGCCCGGAGCCTCCCTACACCGGCCGGGAGGGCGGCCACGCGGTGGGGCCGCCGCGTTGCCCCTCGGGGCCGGAGCCGTCAGACGCTGGTCGGGCTGTTACCAGCGTTGTCCCCTTGCGCCGTCCGAGACCGGCACTCCGATTTGCGTGGGAGAGCTTGCGGGACACTTAAAACTATCTACTAAAGTTAAACTATATATATATATGTAACCAGGTACGGCCCACTGAGCTACGAAATAGTTATTTTCTCTCGTTTTCAGAAGCGACCTGGCTATCACAAGCGATAGCTCAACAAAGTGGCTGATCAAGTTGAAATGTATTGCAGCCAAACAGTCTAAACGCACTTCGATTCCAATTGTGGAGGGAAAAACCGAGAGGACCCGGAGAAAAATCCACGTGGCCACGGGGAGACACGCAAACTCAAAAATACGTAACAGCCGTCAGGCTCGGGATTCGAACCCACGACCTCCCGTATACCAGGCGAGGTAGTTAACATCTCGCCGTCACGGCGCCCGCTGTCAGGCTAAACGGTGTTGGGGGGGGGGGTGTGTGTCTCACCTTGAGGTCGTACTTGCAGTGCACGCTCAGGTGGGGGCTGAAGACGTTGCGCGTCACCACCAGGTAGGTGTCGGCGCCGTCCACGCCCAGCCGGTACATCCCGAGAAACTGCGGCAGCAGCGTGTTCCCGTGGCACTCCACCACGTACTGTGGGCACAGTCGCCGCGCGCAGCGCTCGTCAGCACCGCGAGAGCCACGCTGGCTCACACGCGCGCGCACACACACAGTGCTGCTATACTGCGGCGGTATCCACCGTAAAGCGCTGTCCGCTTCACAGCGGTCGTTATAAGAGCCCCTGACATCATTGGCAAGAGTAGGCCATTGTCTCCGAATTAGCTAAAATTCGAACAAAAATGACCCGTTGATAATTACGAAATTTGGATTAAACACAGCAATCATCGCCACCCCCTACTGCCAAAATATTGCTCGTTTGCAGGCCAGGAGTTGAGTCGCCTGTGTGCCCGCAGGAACAGCTGCCACTGGCGGTGCCCTTCTAAATGTGCTGCTGCGATGCAAGGTAGCCCCAGACGCCCCGGCGTGGCGGGGGGGAGCTCAATCTCTACGTCCCAACCAGCTCAAGCCTCCCGTGAACCACGTGGGGGGCTTGCGTGTGGCCACCCCCCACTGCGAACCCCCTCCCCCCTCTCCCAGTCGCTGCCCACTGTGAAAACAGACATCGCTCCGAAGTGCAGTAGCAGCAGCGGCCCTGATGCAGCCTCATCCTCCCCCCGTCCTCATCTCTCCAGATTCCTTTTTGCTCCCGTTTTTCCTTCCCATTCCCATTCTTTTCCCATTATTTATCTTCTCCCTTCATCCGATAATGATCATGATGATGATAACAAGTGCCAATAAGATATTGGGCACTCGAAATGTACTGCTACAGAAGGATGCTGCATCTAAGCTGGACCCGAAGAGTGACGAACGTAAAAGTAAAATAAAAAGGTTGCACAGAGAAGAAGACGACCTGATGATGCAGGCAGCGATGAGAAGGAAACGTGCAACTATTTGGACACGTACGTACGATGAACGACAAGAGGAAAATTAAAAGTGTGTTGTTTGGATAAATGGAAGGAACCGGAAAGAGAGGAAGACCTAACGGCGAATGGCTTGATGACGATTACGACGTAAGAGACTGGTGCCGGAAAGATGTGGCCACGACTCGAGCGTATTGGCACGAGACGGAGAAAGAGGAAAGTGGAAACAAATCACAAAACGTGCAGTGGACACCTCCTCCGGTCTCTCTGCCCCACGGATCGTGGACGATGACGACGATCGTCAATTATCGCCGTCGCGGTTACCGTGGTGCGCGCAAGCGCTCGCCCCATCTCCGTGCGCACCTGGTGGTATTTCATGAGGATCGTGTGCATGTCGGCCACGTCTTCCCCCACGATGGTCTTCACCACGAACCGGCGGTCGTACGTCGTGAAGACGCGTGCGCCGCTGCGGCCCCGCGCGTCGCTGTTCACCGGGGCGCGGCTCGTCAGCGAGACCTGCGCCGGCACAGACGGGGCGACGCGTCACCGGCCGTCGACAGCGTCGCCGTTGGTGGCGGCGGCATTGTCAACGACGGCATCCTCATTGTCGGCGTCGTCGTTGGCGTCATCGTAAGAAGCAGCAGCATCGTCGTTAATAGCAGCGGCAGGGGCACCGTGATCAGCAGTGGCGGCATTGCCATCATCAGCAGCACCACGATTATCGTCCTCATCATCAGCATTCGTGTGGCAGCGACGGCATCACCAACATCAGCAGCAGCGTCAGTAACAGAAGCAGCTTCACTGCGATCGCTATCGCTGCCATCGTCGTGACGATCATCATCAGCAGCATCATCAGCAGCATCATCATTAGTGTCAGCAGCAGCATCATGATCATAAACTAAAACTATTTTTTATTTGACCAGGTAGCGCCCACTGAGCTGTATAGCTCTTTCTCAGAAGCGACCTAGCGACAAATGGTAGCTCATTGGGAAGTTTATAGCAACAAAATATTCTAAACGCATGTTTCTAAATGTCGAGGGAAAACCCAGAGGATCCGGAGAAAAATCCACACGACCACGGGGAAACAGAACATGCAAACTCCTGCAGACCAGGCGAGGTAGTTAACATCTCGCCACCGTGGTGCCCCACCACCATCATCATCATCATCCACATTAATACAAAAACGCAGATAATACATCTCCTTCATATATCCGTCCGTCCACGTAAAAAAGATAAAAGATACTTTCAACACTTCCCATCAACCACACGGCCTGGGAGCATTGCTAATAATCCACAGCAACGCCACTGCTCAGTTTGCGTTACACATTTGGGCAGCACTCTTCCCAGACGACTCACGGAGGGTGCTCGTACGTAGGCCGTTCGCGAGCGCCTATCAAAAAGTCTGACGTGTCGCCCATGGGGGGTGGGCAATTGCGTTCGCGTCACACGACCCTGACCACCACCTTTGTCTCTCTCCGCCTGGCAACAGACACGAGGGTTTTCGAGTGACGGAGGAGTTTGTTTTTCTTATACTCCGTTCCGTTAGGCGCGACGCTCGGGTTGTTTTTTGTTTGTTTGCGATTCGTAACGCTGCTCGCGGGAGCGCACTCGGCACCACGTGGCGATTTACAAAAACAAGCACGGATTTTGCCAGCTCGGCAGAACGGGGGAAGTGTGCAGACGCACGCGCACAAGCACAGACTCACAGACACGCACGCACAGACTCGCACACACATACACACACGCGCACTCACGGACAAAATCACGGACACAAAACAACAGCCACAACCGCCGTTCCCCACTAAGTGGCATGTGATGTCACCACGGCTCCTGTGCCAGGCCAGGTGCACTTTGAGGCCACGTGAAGTGTCGAAGGCTGATAGAAGGTCACGGAATAGACCCAGCAGGTGCCATTGGTTGACCGAATGAGATGAATGACAGATTCATCAACTGTGCTCCCCACTGCCAAATTTCTGCATTTTTGCCACCTGGCGCTACGCTCGTTGTTGTGAGCGTCGCTCCATTGCCCTGTTGGAGGGCAACTGGTTCCAATCAGCTCCACATCCTTCTGTACCACATCAGCCCATCTCCTTTCTAGCTCATGCCATGCCCGTTTAGCCCACTCTATCCTGCCAAACAGAAGCTACTTTGGAATGTGGTGACTGTGAATCCGGGCTACGTGACCCAGCCAACACAGCCTCGCCTGCCGAAAGAGCTCACGGATGGCACCGTGTCCAAGTCTTTCAAGGATGTGCAAGCTCCTCACACAATCCAGTCTGGCTGAAGCCAAGATGGATCGTAGACAGGCCAGCCTGAATGTTTCAAACTGGCGCAGATATTCCTTAAAGAGGGCTCCACGTTTTGTAAGCATATCATGCGCGTACACACACACACACACCCTCCAGCACACACACTCGCACACACGTGCACGTGTATGTGTTAGAGGGTGTGCGCGTGTGTATGTGTGTGTGTGCTCGAGGGCAAGCGCGCGTGTGTGTGTGTGTGCGCTAGAGGGTGCGCACGCGTGTGTGAAGGTTATTTTGGGCGCGTGTATTTATGTGGCGTGAAGGTCGGTGCTAAGAGCTCGGAGCTGCGGCCTCCTCAACATGCAGGGGGGTAATCCGGGTGTCACGGTGCAGGGGGATCAGGTACACGCACACACAGCTACGGCTCCTGGCACAGTTGCATGTGTCACACACACACACACGTTACTAGTTATGTTTGCCTAACGTGTGTGTGTGTGTGTGCGTGTTCGTGGGAGTGTGGTGGTGCTTGCGAACAGAACTTGCCCCAACATTCTTTCAGCGCTATACGGGGAGACCTTTGTCTTTGTAGCGGTCAGCACGCTGCGCGATGAACCAGGCAGACCCAAGTTTGATTCCCGCTCACGATCACCAACACCGGTGACGATTATCTGAAGGGGTCCCGGGCCTCCCCTAGGTGGACTCAACCTGAAATGAGTACCTGTTGTGCGGTGTGTAAACATCGCCACTGGTGAAACCAAGGAGGCCGTGCCTGGTGCTGGCCACCAAACTCCCTCGTGTGCCGTGCCGGCCTTCATAAGTGCTCACTAACAGCACTTGCCACAACAGTCTGTTAAGACTATACGGGGGATCTTTGTCTTCATGTTCATGTAGCCATATCTGTTTGTGTGTACCTGTGTATGTGTGCACGTAGTTGTGTATGTGTGCATGTCATCTCAGTCAGTCGACCCGTGGAACCTGCTGGGTCTGCCCCGTGACCTCCTGCCGGCAGGCGTTCGACACTTCACGTGGCCTCAAGGTGCACATGGCCTGGCACAAGCGTCGTGGTCACGTCACCGCCACTTAGTAGCGAATGGCGGTTGTTGTTGTAGCTGTGTGTGTGTGTGCGCATAGCTGTGCAAGCGTGCGTGTTCACGTACCGAGCTGTGTGTGTGCGAACAGGGGTTGCCCCAAAAGTCAAAACACCCTGTGTGAATCACCCAGATATGTCTGTCCGTCCCGCGCGTGACGTCACTCCACACGAGGCCCACCCCCCGCGTGACGTCACTCCACACGAGCCCCCCCCCCCCTCATTAATATTCATGAGTGGGTTGATTTTTACATAAGCGCAAAGATGAATAAAATAATTTATTATGCAAAATCGCTTCAAAGTGATGGTAAAAAATAAATCTATGCAGCACAGTGCTTCATCCGTGCGTGACGTCACTGCAAAAGAGCCCCCCCCTTCATTAATATTCATGCCCGCGTGGAAATTGACACTAACACACATGAATGTCGTGCACTCCACATGCCGCACCCCTCCCCTCATTAATAACCATGAGCGGGTGACGTCACTCCACATGCCGCACCCCTCCCCAATAACCATGAGCGGGTGACGTCACTCCACATGCCGCACCCCTCCCCAATAACCATGAGCGGGTGACGTCACTCCACATGCCGCACCCCTCCCCAATAACCATGAGCGGGTGACGTCACTCCACATGCCGCACCCCTCCCCAATAACCATTAGCGGGTGACGTCACTCCACATGGGGCACCCCCCCCCCTCATTAATAATCATGAGCTGAACAATTTTTCTACTGAATATTTCAGATTTACTGCAATACTCGCCCATTCATGGACGTGCAAAAAAGCTCGTAACCCTGTGTGTGTCCTCACTTTTGGGCCACGCTGTATGGCTGTGTCTGCACCTCGTGCTAAAACCACAACCCCACCGCTAGACCCCCCCCCCCCTTCCCTCTGGCAGGAAGCTTCGTCCGGAATCAATCTTTCGTTGACAAAACCGTTTCTGTTTTACTGCGAGCATTAATATTTCATGCAGTGGTGCATTTACAAAGATCTCCCCCCCCTGTATGGCCTTCAGCTGCAGACTGCCGGGCAGAACCTACAAAGGCTCGAATGGCACACGAGGGGGGCTGGTGTGGCCACGACCACGCCCGGCCGCCTTTGTCTCCCCCAGTGCTGATGTATACGCACCGCTCCAGGTACTCGCTATAGGCTGAGTCGACCTAGGGGAGACCGAGGACCGGTGGGAACATTTTCCACTGCTATTAGCCGTGAGCGGGAATCGAGATTAGGTCACCGGGTCCGTAATGCAGTGCGCTAACCACCGAGTCACCGCTCCCCCACACCCCCACAAATACAATATACAGTACAGTATATACAGCGTATGGAGCAGCCCCCCACTTCTGCGCCCCAATAACACAACTAAGGGTAACACGGAGAGATAACGTGTTCGCGCGGTGTTACCGAGGCATTTGTTAACGTTCTGTATTTCGTGTTTTGTACAGTGCCGCTGAAGGAAATTGCTTCATATTGTGTACGCTTGTGTTGCGCGTGACTAAGAGGCGTGTGTGCGTTCCGCGTTGCGTAGTTTTGTGGAAAGGAAGGAAACTGCTTCATATTGTGAACGAGTGTGCTTTGTGTTGCGACGGCACTTGATTAACTTTGGGTATTAGAGAGGCTGAAGCTCCCATCGCACATTTCGACATTTCTCCTGCACGGTATCAATGCCGCAGCCTGCCCCTGACGCGCCCCCCACCCCTCTCTCTATCCCAAACCACGAGTTGACAGTGGCTGGTGGAGACTCCGTATCGTGCGCTGAATAATGCATCGGTAATGCGTTTCCTTGTGGAACTCTGTGGCATCGCGAATGAAACCAATCCGGCATTAACTAATTCATCACCTTCACTTGCGGTAAATTATTCACTCGTTCATCATTCGATCCTTAAGTGCAACAGACTCGCGCACAAAGACAAAGATCCCCCCACGTAGCCTTAACAGACTGTTTGGGGGCAAGTGCTGCTAGCCAGTAGCAGCACCGATGGAATCCGGCACGGCACACGAGGGGGTGGGTGGCCAGCACCACGCTCGGCCGCCTTTGTCTCCCCAGTGGCGATGTTTCATTCACACCGCACCAGCCACTCCATGCCATTGAAATACATTATTACAATGGCTGTAAATATTGTAATGCATTACGGATTACATGCGGTATTTACAACTGTAGATGATCTATAGCTCTGCCGTGATTGGTCTAAGAGCTCGATCGACCGCTTACGATTGGCTGCTAAGGAACACTGCCCCCCCACTGGATTCGGAGCGATAGCTTTTGGTTGAGAATTTGCCAACAGGGACAAGCAACTCCTGAGCAACAGAGTTTCTGGCAATTCCGGGAACCTTTCACTGCACCCGGTGTGTCTTGGGGCAAAGGCAGCCAAAGGGGGACCCTACAGGTTGAGCCAAACACGCGCCGCCTTGAGGGTCACAGCTTGTTTTGGGATTTTGGTTATTGTTTATTCGTTTCGCTGGTATCCATGCGGGTGCCTGTATGGGGGGGGAGGGTGGTGAGGGCATCCGAGGACAGACGGAGAATCTCACTGTGCGGTCAGAGCAGTGCGGTGCGCGTGGTGTGTGGTTCAGTGTGTCTATGCTGAACTTCTTTCGCACCGTACGTCGCGGGGAGCGGTGGTGCAGCGGTGAGCACGCTGCGCTACGAACCCGGCGACCCGAATTCTATTCACGCTCACGGCCAACATCAGTTACGATTATCTGACCCGGACGTGGGGACACAAAGGTAAGAGCCGGGTGTGGCGCTGACTCACCACCACCTCATTGGCTGTGCCGGTCTTAATAGGTGCTCGCTAAAACAACACTCGACCCAGCGGTCTGTTAATGTTATACTGGCGGCCATTGTCTTTGGTGCAGTGTCGTGTGACTGTGGTCCGCTTTGTGTGCCACGATGACGTGCCGTGTGGGGCACGCTGAGAGCAGTATGCGTGCGTCAGTGTGACTTACTCGGTGTGTCCACGTGAGTGTGCGCGTGGGGAGTGGTAGTGTAGTGGTTAGCACTACGAACCCGGTGGCGATTATCTGAGCCGGTCCTGGGCCTCCCCTAGGTCGACTCGGCCGCAAATGAGTGCCGTTTCCGGCCTTCAGGAGGTGTCTTTGTGCGTGCGTCGTGGCGGCTCAGTGTGGGTTAGCGTGGTCCACCGTACAGTGTCTCAGCGGGGACCCGGTGCAATGCCGTGAAGCTCGACTCAACGTCGCAGCCAAATGCAGCGTCCACGCACCAGGTACTCCTGCTCGCTGACGCCAAACCGCTCGCGAAGGTTGCGGAACACCACAGGGCAGTACTCCTTGAACTTGAAGCGGCTGGGCATGTTCTCTCTGTGCCGACAGACACACGCCCGCAAGAGACAGGTGGGGGAAGGTCAGGTGAGAGGGCAGAGGTCAAGGAAACTGCAGGTCACACGCCCAGAGCGTGCAGCAGCAGTTGACTGATTGACCCCAACTCCACACCGCTCCGTGTCAACGCCCCTTTGCCTCCGACTCGCAGGTAAACAAAAACTCAAGTTTCGTTAGACACGGGGCAATCAAAGGATGCCTTGCCGAGGTTCAGGTGCGTGACGAGTCGCACCCGCACCTCCGATTAGCACGGTTGGCTACGTACGGTGCGAAAAAGGTTTAGCATACGTACATACAGTGGTGCAACAAGATCGTCATAATTGTCGGGTTACAATTCAATTCAGGAATCTGTTTCCTTTCGTATAGTTTCCACCGTCTTGTTTATGTCGTTAGCTTTTTTTTTATCTCATACGCACGATTTGGCACGCATACCGCCAGTTTACATTTTTTTATCGATGAGGAGGAGGACTTTATGGAGACGATGTGAAATACCTTAACGCTCGCAGCTTGGCAAGTAGAGCGACTGAAATAACAAGCGGCCATCATGTCACACCTAAATGAAGCTCCACATTTGCCGTCGAGCGAGGCCACACGGTAGTGTTATGTATGTGTATGTTGAATTTCCTTAGCATCGTACGTAACCAACAGTGTTAATCGGAGGTGCGGGGGAAGGACAACAAACTAAAGACAAAAAGCAGTTCTAAAAGAAATGAATTTTCAATCTACAGTCCATTTAAAAGTGCATAGCTCCTGCGGCTTTCTCATATCGGAAGGAAGCGCGCGTTCCAGATGGCCGCAGAAGCACGACTGAAAGCGCGCGATGCGGTAACTGTCTTTTGTTCGATGGCTCGCGAAAAATCATTGTCGTTAACCCTCCAACACCTGACGCGATTGCCACGTTTACAAAGACATGTTTTTATTAAATACGTGCCACCGTCCTGAGCAATGAAGCTCATTCTCACCCATGGCGTGAGACTTTTCACGGCTGCATCCAACATGACCGGGCAACGAGGTTTTTCGCTCAAACCGATTCCAGCTTCATCAGGGCTGGCGAGCCCAGAAGTAAAAGTGAACCTTTGAAATAAAATGTGATTCTAATCACGGCTATGGAAACCTCATTGCAGGCAAAACGCCGTGTCATTTACAGATAACAAGTTCCAGAAAGTATGCCCAAATAACAGATTTCTGTCTATTAGACACTTTACAGGGCGTTTGCCCTCAAAAACACTGTATACATGTAACAGCCGACGTTTCAGGCAACGGGGCCTTGTATAGGGCGGAAGACAGAGTTTTGTTGACAACTGTGTTGAGTTGTTGTTTGTGAATTTCATGAAGAGGCTTTCACACAACCAATATGATTCGTGAGAATATTTTTTGGGTTAGACCGTGTAACCCAAAAGTTGTTTTATTACAAATTATTTTATTTGCGCTTTGTGCACCCACTGCCAACAGGATAAAAATTATACTTTACTATTTTTTTTATTATTTTACCAGGTAAGGCCCACTGAGCTATGTAGCTCTTTTTCAGAAGTGACCTGGCCACAAATCATAGCTCAACGAAGTGGCTTATCACGTAGAAATATAAAGCAGTCAAATACTCTAAACGCATGATGTTGATTCTAAATGTGGAGGGAACAACGGTAGGACCCAGATAAAATCCACGCGACCACGGGGAGAACTTGCAAACTCCAAATAAACAGCAGGCATCAGGGTCGGGATCGAACCCACGACCTCCTGTATACCAGGTCGCCGCTGCCCCTGCGGTGGCAAGATGTGATTAACTGTTATCTTTCATCATGTCTATAAATGGGAGGTGCCCCGGTAATAAACTTGACAACCCCGAAAATCTCACGGCTCAAGAGGGCAGGCTTTCCCCTTACGATTAGCGTCACGCGAAGCGGATGAAAGTGGGGAATCAGTAAGTTCGATGCGTGGCGATCTGCGGGCGAGATACAAAATAAAAAATGATCAAACCTGGATTGTGAAGTGCTCCGAAGAAGTTAGCGTGGATGTGCTTCTGCGACCGTCTGGAATGCTCTTCCTTCAGATATTAGGAAGCCGCTGGAGCTATATGCACTTTGAAATCATCTAGATTGAGAACTAGTTTCTTTAGAACCGCTTTGTGTTTGGTTTGTTGTCCTTTTCCAGCACCTCCAATTAGCACGGTTGGCTACGTACGGTGTGAAAGGAGTTCAACATACATATGCACATGAAATAAACCATAAATATCAGCCATCTGCTAGGCATGTGCTGGGGTTCTATTATACATTCTTGCACATGACAGCAACGGGGTTTCAGGAGCAGCGGCAGGAACTTCGCTTTGGCTCTCCAACGGAACTGACCGCACGTCGCGTGGGTTATCGTATCTCTCCAGGAAACACATGCCCCGTCGCATTGACGAGAGAACGCTGTCCAGGTAGATTCACGCTCGGCCCACGGCAGTGCGCCGACTGAACGCGCCACGTAGACTCGGTCCGTAGACTCGGGCCGACTGAACGCGCCACGCACACTCTTGATATTTACCCCCCCCCGCAACTCGGATGAGCACAGTTGGCTACGTACGGTGCGAAAGAAGTTCAACATACGTACGTATATAGAGATTTAGCAGAAACTTCCACCCCACACTGCTCACCCCCCCCCATCCTTATGCATTCATTCACAAAGAAGACTGTAAATTTAAGTTCGGTGAAGGATTTTCTTTTTTCTATTCTCTGGCAGAGATGACGAGACAAGACTGACATTTTGGCAGGCCTGGCCTTTCATGCAATCACGCTTCCCCCCCCCCCCCCCCCCCCTCTTATTGACAATATAATACCCCAGTTGTATTTATAGCAACTGACACATTCCGTGAAAGGTGAAGGCGCAGCCCCGCAACTGCTCGCCCACGCCACCGCTGGCGGAAGTGCCTCCGATCGAGCGAGCTCTGCAGAACCCCGTCTAGAGGGTTACTTGGCCTACTCTTCCACGCTGGACAGACGTCGTGTAAGACGTGGGATTCGCCCACGTCTAACCCCACCACACGCCACCTGGCGATCGACAGAACTGTGGTGTGTCCATGTGGACTGCTGGGTGGACAGAGGCGAGTGGGGAGGGGAGGGGAGGGTGATTTAAGAATCCTGCCCATTGTTTCAGCTGCCGCTCCGGGGGATCGTATCGAACGCGGCGAGCTCTGCAACTCAAGCGCGGTGTGCCGACCACCGTACACCAGGGCGGCAACCCACACCACTCTCCGTCATCGCCCTTGCCCACTCCGCACACCCTCCTCCACTGCTCCAGCAGCACACGCGCACACGTTCACAATCTCACGCTCGCACGTACCCGCGCGATACGCGCAGGCAGGCAGGCTCGCACACAAAACACCCGATAAGAGATTTCTAACGAGGTCGTGGCGGGATTTGTCGAGGCTGATAAGGGCCAGAGAGTCGGTGCCAAGCGGCCGGGCTCCAGAGCGCGTTTCGTCTGTTTCCGCGCGATAGCGAACTCCCCGGCCTGGGCCGCAGCGGAGTGCGAGTGGCCACACAAAGCGCGCGCGGGCGGAGGAGTAGCGACGTGGAGCCAACAAATGTGCTAGGGACAGAGAGACGCGCACAGGAGGGCGGGAGAGACACGGGAGAGAGAGACACGGGCGGGAGAGACACGTGTGCTAGAGGAAGCCACACGGGAGAGCCGCGGGTTGGGAGAGAGAGACACGGGAGAGAGAGACACGGGCAGGAGAGAGGGACGTGTCGGAGGAACCCTTTTTTTGTTCATAAATACACCGATCCATTCGTAGACACCCAACTATAATAACAGGGAGCAAGGAGGCGAGCTTTGGATTTGACGATTCGGATTTTTGAGGATCATTTCGGATGTCTTTTGAGAGTTTCAGGTCATTGGCATGACATGCCACGTGTCCAAGTTTTTTTTCGTTTTTGTTCCTTTTTTGGTGACCCGGGACACCTGAGCAACCGGGACTCATGGCCCGGTGGTCTGTCGAGCCCGCGGCTGGGTAAACAAAACAAACCTGAAACCCCCCAAAAAACTGACGTCACCCTGCGCCACGTGACACCATTCTGGACGGGAAAAGCGTGGTATTATGCCGACAGGATACAAATTTTCCTTTTTTTCTATTATACCAAGTAAGGCCCACGGAGCTGCTAAGTAGCTCTTCTTTAGGAGCGACTTGGCCACGATAGTTCGACGAAGAGGCTTTTCACGTGGAAATCTAGAGCAGCCAAATACTCTAAACGCATGTTTCTAAATGTGGAGGTGAAAACTGGAGGACCTGGAGAAAAAGCCACGCGACCACAGGGAGGACACGCAACCTCCAACTACACAGGCGTCGGGGTCGGAATCGAACCAACGACCTCCTGCAAACCAGGCAAAGGAGTTAACATCTCACCACCGTGGCGCCCTTTTTGCCCCCCAGGGGGGCCCTGGAGAACTCCCTCCTAGTAGAAGAGGCTCTTCTGCCAGCAGTGTCGTGAACAAGCAATTTCAGGGCTCCACCTTTGCCTTTGTTACTGGACGTGGCAGATGCCAACCGATCACAATTATGATCGTAACAACACGACTGTAAAAAAGACACACACAAACACAACAACAATAACAAAAACGCATAACTCGCAGCACACGCCGCCAGTGGTGGCTGTTACAGATGAAACAATCCGAAATTTGTTCCAACGGTGAAGTTTCTCAACTCAATCGGGCAGAGTGCTCCATCACGCCGGCTCCGCGTGGTGCTGGGGGGCCGACTGGTTGTTGTTGGTGGGCCTGTGTGCCCACGCAGGGATTGCCTGGCTATTTTGGCGACCCCTCCGTCTATTGCGTCGTACTGTGGGTCAGCTGTGTGCGTGAGGCTCTCTCTCCGCACCCCTGGTTTTTTTTGTTATTGGCTGTAATCCCGAGGCACTTCGTGCATGCTGCAGTTTGTCGTTTACAAGATCATCGTTGGCCGTCTGGGCGGGCCATGAGTAATTCGATATGAATTAAGGAAAGCAATT